GATGAGGTCATTGGATTTTTCAATTCATCTAACCCTTCCAGCCTCACTATGACCTTGGGGCCTTATTTGTTCAGTCACTATACCACACAGAACTGTCCGTCCACTCTCGCATCAACGCAACGGCACTTCAAAATAATGGGTGATATTTTTGCATGTTTCGTGTTTCTTTCAGTGATTTACTTCACTAAATGTTTGTAACCTTGAAAGCACCATTGCCTTGACTAACCCTTACACAATGGCGGACATTTTTATATTTGGTTCTTCTGACTGGACATTTTGTGGAACCGGAGTAAAGTAACGGACCGGATCATTTCCTAGCTTAGATATTTCATTTCTTGGACCTCTCGGATTCAGCAAATGTCCTGCCAGCCCTGTGCCACAGCCAATAAGAGGAGTTCCGAGATCGAATTATTAACCAGCTATGACCGCGCCCTATATTCCAGCGGTCCTGGCATTTGAACCTGTTGAAGTGTAAAGCCATGCACCGCTCGAGGAAGGTCCTGCACCGCAGGGACAAGTTATTATTAGTCTCTTTCCATCAGCATAAATTAGGCCATTGTCCTATCCCGAGCAATTGCCTCCCCACGAACAAACAGTGGCTGGTGGTCATTGCCCGGCAGCGCCACCCTCCGATCGTTATCAGTGCTGAGGCCATGCTTGTCATTTCCAGCTGAACTTGCTCGATAATTGCGCTCTCTCTGAAGTGATGGAGTAATGAAGGAGTGACGACTGACAAGGGAAATCGAAGTGCTCGAACAAAAACCGACCTGAGTGTTGCATTGTCCATCACAAATTCAACATTTTTGTAGCTACAGCAACTGACATTCAGCTGTTCAAACAACTCAGCGTTGAAGCGTCACATGATGGCCGGTAGGGGAGCCCACTAGCTTGACAACCCAACAACGCGTCCAACATGGAGACCACTTATAAGGTCAGAGTAAAGCTTACGTCAATTTTTGTACGTTAAAAAGATGTATGGAGGAGTTGATATATAGATCCACGTTTTCTTGACCTCGGCACTAGTTGGAGGTGAGTGGTCAGCTTCACGCCCCTGCCGCTTTGCCCCCTTGGAAAGAGCCCCGGGTTCCCATTGGATAGGAGGCTGGGTGGACCCCACAGCCAGTCTGGACGACGTGGGAAGAGGAAATTTTTGACCCTACTGGAACTGGAACTCCGACCCCTCAGTCATCTAGCCCGTAGCCAGTCGCTATACCGACTACGCTATCTCGGCTCCACGTTTTCTTGACAGCAGATGTTTTGAAAACTGAAGTTAACATTTCCATTTAATAATTGTAGAAAACGAACTGTTGTAAGAAGCCACGCGAAATTCAATGTGGTGGGAAACTGCAAAACATTTATAGCATTGCTTTTGTTAAAACTCTTGTAACACTTGTAAATATAACAACAATTTCAGTTTTCCGAGTTGTTCACTGGCTTTCTGTGTTCGGAATTGCGCTCTTTTGATTTCTTCATAGGCTATTTTTACAATGCTTTCAGTATCGAGACTAGATTGGAAAGGATTCGGAAGGAAACGCTACAAAGTCCTGTCATGAGAGCTTGTGTCCCGACAAAGACTTGAACCGAGCACCCCAACTCGAAAACAATCGACAGCGTTACCTGGAGACCAGACTGTTCGGCTATTAAACGGTGTAGCCTTGTGGGCAAATACGGTCTATAAGAGAGGAATATGGTTTGTGCATCATCAGGGTTGAAAACTGTAAAACGAGGAATCTTTTGCCGTCGCACTATGGCCTTGGAGTCGACTCAGCCTCTAACAGAAATGAGCACCAGGAACCATCCTGTGAATAAAAGGCGGCCGGCGCGTAAGGCTGACAACCTAGCCGTCATCTGTGAGTCGACTGTCTTAGAGAAACTGTGGGAGCCTCGACGTCTCACAGCCCTATGGACCTCCATGGCTTGTTACAGGGAGAGGAAAGTGGAGTGCAATTCCTTATTCCACGTGTCAAGGAGCTTCCAGAAAAGGGAAACCGCACCCATATCCTGTGTTCGTAGTGTTCGTAGTGTTCCAGGATTCACGATTGTGCTGGAGCAAGTGTGTATAATTCCAATTGCCTAACCAAGTCGTGCCAAGGTATGTGGGGTTATTCCCCTATTGAATGTTACAGTTCGTGTAATTATCGCCTCTTAAAATCGTCAGGTATTTAAGGACCAAACTGCCTCAAGCGGTAACCCTTCTGACTTGTATTCTGAGGTTCCCGTTTCGAATCACGACAGAGCACCAACTGCGAGATACTAGCAGTAAGGCTACACTAAATATTGTCACGACCGCCTTCTTCCGCGCCCCTCTAAATTCAGCACTCACCACCACCCAGACCATTTTGTGTTGCGACGGCCTCGTGCCAATAAACAAGGAATGTTCACTTTCGCGCGTCACATTCATAGCCTCTGTTATATTTCCGTTTCTGCTTAATGGGATCCCAGCATCGGCCATGCTTTCTTTCTTTGTTTTCTTATTATACGATTACATCAACATTCCGTTCTGTGCGTCGCAGTGACCGCTAGTTCCCGTAGCACCATGCGGGTGTTACCGCCCCGTCGACGGGGTTTTCGATTGGTGACTGCATTTGTTGACATAAATAACTACAAGTAATTACAGCGCCATCGCTAATATCCACAGAGTACAATAGTAGTAGTAGTAGTAGTAGTACAGAATTTGATTTTATCTGTACCTGTTTTTGCTCCCAACAAGAGAGACGCATTCACAAACGCACGATGTTTTGCTTGGACGAAATAATTTTAAGGATTTTCAGCAGATATTTGCCACATCCGGTTGCCACGTCAGCAGCAAATGCAATTCAGTTATTTTATTCTATATCGCTTAGGAAGATCACATGGCTCGAATTCTTCAGCCGAGCTGCAAACGGACACCTGACATTCTTCAAGCAGACGAACCGCAGATTGCAAGGCAGTAACTGGGCAGCCTGGCGCAGGATTATTCTTATGCGTTCCTCTCACAAAGTGCCCATTCGGGATCAGAGCCCGTTTGTCTGTTTGTTGCAATTCAAAAATATCCCTCGATTTAATTGACTAAATTTAATATTGGCGAGTTGTACAAAGATGTGTCACAATTAGAACTACAGTTAAAGTCAAGTCACCTGAGACGAATACTTATGTAAAGGTAGAAGCATAAAGTTGTCCCGTGCTTAAATAAGCATCACGTCAAGAAGGAGTATAGAGGAGCGGAGGTACAGCTCCACTGCTGGGCACACGATGAAGAATGGTCAATTTCACACCTCGGTTCCTTTACTCCCAGGGGAAGTCCCCATAGCCGGTGTAGGTCATGCGGTGAAAAGAAAATTGTCTTCCCTTGCCGAGAATAGAACCCCGAATGTAGGCTTACACATTTGAGAAACTTTCACGTACTCACGTCGGTAAACATCTGTCTGAGCGAAAAGCTTTTTAAACTGACGTCGTCGGAAGTAATAAATCGCATTTTTATTTCAAAACGGATTTTGTGTTTGCAAAACGCAGGTCACCGCATCGCGAGAAATTCTTCAAATGACACATTATCGCGTTCTTTTAGGCAATTATAGACGGAAACGCCAATAACGGCTTTACTTATGAACTGATGGTGAAACCGAATTTTACAAATATTTTCGTTTAATCTTGTTGGAATATCTGATGTGAAATTTGCGTAATAGGGTGTTTCATAACCTACAGTCGTCACCAGTTACCAAGTACAGGAGGATGAGATGGGCGGGATACGTAGCACGGACAGCAAAACTGAGGAAATATATTCAGAATCTGGCTGGAAAACCTATGGAGATCTATGCATATACGGGAGGAGTGTAACATAAGGAATCCTCAGGAAAGCTTTTGTGAGGTTGTGGACTGTAATGGATTCATCTGGCGCAGGAAAAGTTCCGAAGGCGGTAGTGAATCTTAGGACTCAATCACAGGCAGTCTCAGTACTGAAGACTCAATCGCGGAACCCAGTAGCTCTATTAAAGGCAGACCGAACAGCTGAACCCGTGCTGATATGCTCAGTTCCCTTCGTTGCTAGTTCTCAGAAGTCCCTTGTGCTGCCCATACAAAACTCCTATTCTCTGGTTGCCATGACGGTCTGTCGGAGCCCGACTCCCTTGTACCACTGCTTCTCCGAACGAACATGAGACTGGCCACTGTGACACTAAGCAGCATCTACCATGACATGCAGCTGAAACAGCTGCACACATGTGTATTTAATTAAAAAAAGCGCAGTATTATGACGTGTATACCCACTGCTAGGCAACGGCTCGTAAATATATTTCCGCGCGACATTACGACGTCTATAGAATTTTTTTTAATTATCTTAGTGGGGTGGTGGAGTCCATCTGGGTCCACTCGGCACGGCGGCCACTGATTGGCCTATTGTAGCCTGCCCTGGACTTGGACTTGGCGACCGAGTCTAGGACAGTAGTCGAGAGTGAAGAGGCAATTTTCGAGATTTTCGAGCCTGGCGGGATATGAGCTTAGAATTGAGTTGAGTCAAGTCTTCGGAACTGGCAGCTGCAGAAATGGCAAGAAAGGAATTAGGCTGTGAAAAGAAGACTTCATGTGTGATTTGAATTGACAGTGAGACTGTTATAAATACGTTGCTTCCCCATATGTCTTCATGGCGCCGTGCTTAATTAAGCACCTCTTGGAGCGAAGGGCAACAACCTGTTGAACACTGAAAACTATCTGCACTGTGCTTCGCTGAGCTCGAGCGAATATTCGAATAACTGAAGACAGGAAAAGAGTGGGAACCTTCACGTTAACAACACAAAAATCACTTCTTATTAATCATCATCAGAACTCTTCTCCGGGTGTTTAATTTCTTCTTTCATTACTTTCCTTGAGTTCTCGGCCGAAATGTAACGTGATGTGTGTATTCGGCACGCAGCTGGAGGTTAGTGTCCAGTCGTACGCTCACTACGTCAAGAGACACATACTAGTGAACTTTACTTAACCGAAAGCAATAAAAAGTGAAGCTAAAAACACCACAACTGTGTACTTACCATTGTATTCACTTATCCAGTCATCATCATCGCAATCGTCAACAAACATGCTTCCAACAATCATCTCAATGTACTGCTCTGCCTTCTGGGACATAACCGCGTGTAGTCAGATGGAAGTCAACCGACGTTTCAGACGAGCATGTCGCCTCCATCTTGAGGGCTGAAAAGAAAGGCAAGGAAGAATCAGCATGAAGCAAGCGATCAGCTCACTGGTTTTAAGAGCGGTATGCACTTGCGCACTCTCTGTCAGCAGTTGGCTAATGATCCTCTTAAAGTCCTGATATTTACGAATTAACAGCAACGAGGGCTAAAATCAAGAAGCAACATACTGCAACACCTTGACATACGTATGCTCGTACAAGTTAATTCGCTGAAATGCCTCTGGAACTCTGATCGTTTTATCATTAACAGTCTGGATGCGAATGCTTACTGGTGCACTGAAACGCCGCTCCTGTTGCTACTGATGCAACCGCACGAAAACAAACTTGTTGCTTTACGAAGGTAACAAAAAGGTAAAACTATCCCTATCCTTAACTAATTAGTCATACGCCATGAAGGTGTCTGAGGGAGTGGATGTTTAGATCCATGTTTTCTTGACCTCTGCACTTGTTGGAGGTGAGTGGTCAGCTTCACGCGCCGACCGCTCTACCTCCGGGAAAAGAGTCCTCGGTACCCATTGGATGGGAGGTTGAGTGGGCCCCAGAGCCGGTCTGGACGACGTGGCCAAGAGGAAATTCTTGCCCTACCGGGACTCGAACTCCAACCCCTCTGTCGTTCAGCCCGCAGCCAGTCGCTATACCGACTACGGTGTCCCGGCTGCTTAACTTATTTTGGCCCAAAATTTGAAATTCTTCTAATTTGACCTAAGTATAGTGACCTACTCGCTGGCTTCCCACCTCGGAGGCCCGAGTTGGTTCGATCCCGGGTCTGGTCAAGTGGGATTTGTGGTGGACAAAGCGGCACTGGGGCAGGTTTTCTCCGAGTACTTCGGTTTCCCCTGCCAATCTTCATTCCACTAGTTGCTCCACAATCACCATCACCTATCATCTGGGGCTGGTACAGTAGGCCAGAAGTGGCTGCAGTACAAGGGACTTAGTCCCACCCCAATAGCAATAAAAAAAAGTATAATGACCTAAGTAACTGTACAGCAGGCTTACATTGTGAAGTCCTCTGCACATGATAAAGTATGGATAAAGCAGGGTCATCATCATCACTCATGGAGCTGAGCCCATCATGAGAAACCGCCAATTGTGCAGCTACTAAGAAATTTCCCAGCATTTTATGGAACCCGAAGGTTCATTAATTATCATGTTCACAAGAGCCCTCCACTGGTCCCTATCCTGAGCCAGATCAATCCAATCCATATCATTCCATCCCTCTAAGGTCCATTTTAATATTGTAGACCCACCTACAACTTGGTTTTCTCAGTGGTTTATTTCCTTCTGGTTTCCCAACCAATATCCTATATCCCCAGTCGTGCTATATTCCCTGCCCACCTCATCCTCCTTGACTTGATCATTCTAATTATACTTGGAGAAGAGTACAAGTTATGAAGCTCCTCATTATGCAGTTTTCTCCAACCTCCCGTCACTTCATCTCTTCGGTCCAAATATTCTCTGCAACATCCTGTTCTCAAACACCCTCAGTCTATGTTCTTCCCGTAATGTCACAGACCAAGTTTCACACCCATACAGAACCATAAGCAAGCAGATCAGCATTCTCATCCTTCACTAAGTTTCATCTAGGCTGGTAACCCCTCTTAAAGTCATTTATTCCTTTATACAGGTCTCTAATGTTCTTGTTCTTACTGTTCATTGCAAGCTCATCAATTTTGTCTTCCAGATATTCCCTCTTTTTGTTCCTGAAATGCCTGCTGGTTTCACGTCTTATATTGTTCAGATTATCCCCATTTAACTCGCTTGGATCCTGTAACCATTGCAGTTTGCCTTGTTTCCTTTGGTCTAAAATTTCAAGCATCCTTCATCGAACCATGGCTTATACTTCTTCAGTTCATACTAACTCTCCTTGGCAGAAATTTTGATATTCTAATAGTTTCCCAAGCTTTATTAACATCCACCTCAGCGTCTAAGTTTTCCAAAGCCACGAACCTATTTGAGATCTCAACACAATACTGCTCTTTACCTTCTACCTCATTTAATTTCTTGAGATTGAACCTCTCCATATAAACCCTATGCATTGTTCTTTTACTCACTGCCAGTTTTTCCCAAAACTTTGCCACCACCAGGCAGTGGTCAGTATCACAATCTGTTGTCCTGAATGACATCTCCTGTCTATCAAAATATGGTCAATTAATTGTGTGTCCTCCCATCAGGAGATGTTACGATGTGGAAACATCATAGTTTTGACAGTACAATTTTTCGATGTGGCAAAGTTTCTTGACTGTGTCTTTATTTTCTTTCAGTTTGCAATAATCCAGCAGAAACAGAAGGTGAGTTCTCATCTGCTTTTGTGTTGCCTTTTGCAATTCATTCTTGCATTCACTTTCCTTCTGCAAATGACCTGGAGTTCAAGTCTCATGACAGAATGTTAGCTTTTACTGGCCTTATTTATGAACATATAACAAGTGATGTTATGATTCTTTCATAAATGCTGATGGACCCATTGAACATTTTCTGCAAATGTGAGGCAGGGAACTCACCTGACCTGCCACTATGCTCTACATGCTTCTCTTTGTTAACTAAACTGGCTCTTCTTGCTATTGGGGCTGTTAGCACAACAAAATAGACTGGTTATGACTTTCATAAAGTCAACTGAAGTACATAGTACAATACACCATTCACTATTACTTATCTTGTTACACTGCATGTTCCAGGTCATGTCCCATCAACAGGTGCAAACAAATGAGTAAACAAAGCACATCAATATCAAACTGCAAACTTAAGTGGATCCATTTCTACAAAATGTCATAAGAGATCTCTTATGTTAGGATGATGAAATATATTAAAATCCGGGTGAATCTGAGGTATCATCATATGCTTGCAGTGTGCTAATCTTTGGCAATGGTTCAACATTTTCTCTGTGCCACAAGGTTGACTGCCAGAACTCACAAATACTGAGTGACAATTTGCTGCCAGTGACTGGGCAACTACATATTCATCCCTGCATGAATTAACAGACTGAGTCTTCAGAAGGATTTCTATTCAAATTACACAAATATAATATTCACCCTCTCGTTTTTCTGTCCAATGTGCCTACACTTGTATGGAGAGGGGGGGGGGGATAGGAGTGTAGTTTACTACTGTGTACATTAAGTCAGTATATGAACTGAAATGGTTCCCAACCTTTTTGCCATGGCGACCCACAAGTCGAAATATTTCTGGTATGTTGACCCATCAATTTATTGTTACATGAATTTTGGATCTCAGGTGTTTAGCAGCCATTGGCTTCATGTATTTTAATTGCATATCTATTTTATAACCATGATTTTATCTAAGATTTACTAAGTGCCCAGTGTTAATGAGAAATTTGTTTAAACACCTACAGCATTTAAATTCACTGTACTGTTCAAGGGATTGTATGTACACCATCTACATGCATAATATAGATGCATAACAAGGGGTTGAGCCGATCACAGTGGCCGAGCGGTCTAAGGCATGCACTGTCTTCACTACCTCACACGCTGGGATCGTGGGTCCGAATCCCACTTATGGCATGGATGTCTGTATTGTGTACATTTATTCTATATTTGTTTCGTTCTGTGTGTAGGTAGCGGTCTTGCGACGGGCTGATCCCCCGTTCAAGGAGTTCTACCGATTGTGTATTGAATCAAGAAACTGAAAAAAAGCGGCCAAGGCCCAACAAAAGGCTGTATAACAAGTGTTTGAAGAACTTCTTGCTGGCCCACCAGTCAGGTAACTACCTCAGTCGTCCGCTGAAAATCCCCAGCACTCCACGTGCCCTTCACAAGCATAAATATTCGATAGTGGTACCGTTCTGGTCGTTGTCCCCAACCAAAAAATTTTTGACATATGCCTGAATGCGTTAAGAGGAAAGTTTCGAAAATCTTCCTGCTTGTTTCTTTAATCATGTTTATATAGCTATGGGCTATGTAGTCTACGCATGAGAATACACATTAAGACAAATATAACAGCTCACCTTCGTACGCAACTTTCCTTCGTCCCTCACAAACTATTCCCGCCGCCTCGCACCACGACAGCAAGCGACATACCGCGGCAAATTATTTAACTTGAGCGCTACTAGCGTTCCCGTGAGGCTTGTTCAAAGTAGATTGTCCGCGAAATATAAATTACATACTCTCGTACGTATTTTGAGATACCGCCAATTTATAAAATGTAATTTCGTATATAAATTAAACTCAATTATTTATTTATACCAGAAAGAATTCATTTACATATTAAGTGCAAGGGAGGGGGAGAGAAAAATTGAATTGAACAAGTTGAACTAAAACTGCTCTATTAAATTCTCTACTCACCAACTCAAAAATCCTCACACGTCACGGACTAGCACACGAGCGCATTTTTCAAATCGTTTTCATAATCATGTTCTAAAAACTTATTTTTACGCTAACAGTGTTAGTTACAATTATCTAATTAATCTCATTTTCTTTATCTTCAAGTAAAACAAGAAATTCCAGCAAGCATGCAAAAATATTGCTTCTAGCTGGACCTCAACTTCACTCTACAGGCTAGATGAAAATTACTGAAAAAAATGAACCTGTCAGAATTTCTAGGCATGTATTTTCTTAGCTGGTTACTTAACTGACTTAGCTGTCAGTATCAGGATTACATGAGAATTGCATAGATGTCAGGATGATTATGGAATGTAGAGCAGCTGGTGGAATGTGAATTGCAGGGAAAACTGAAGCCCTTGGAGGAAACCCACCCCAATGTTCCTTTGTCCACCACAAATCTCACATGATCCAGCCTGGAATAGAATCCAGGCCATTGTGGTGAGAAGCCAGTCACTATTACCTGAGCTATGGTACAGCCTTTACATGTGTAGACAAAGTTATGGTTTCCATGCAGTGATGTTCTGCCACTACTTTGTGAGATTAAGCTCAAGTCAATCAAACTACCACATATGCCAGAAAGGTATATTAACTTTGCTGGCCAGTCTGTGTTGATCAGATGATCTAGAAGTCTTGATTTTTCCTTCAAGAGAATTGCATGCACTTGTTGCCTCAACTCAAAGAGTCTCTGCTGCACACCTCCTGCTAACCTGTGTAAATGAACAAGTGTACAAGTTCACAAACCATATTTGACTGTAATGTCTACACACAAGAATTTAATGAACAGGCTATGATACATTTTATAGTTTCACTGCATCGGCAAGTGCTTCACCTACCTCTTTGGCTATCAGTACTTCACAGTGCATGAAGCAATAACAAGATACAGCACTGAGAGCCTACAGTTTTTACTTAAATTGAGAATGTGTGTTGAACAGTCATTACTGTTGCTCCTTTCACGATGACAATGATACACTTAAACCTGTTGAACGGACTTTCAGCCTCAAGCTTCTCGAACAGTTGGAAAATGTCTTCTCCTGTGATGTAAGGGGTTATCTGTTCTCTTAATAAAATTTCGGCCTCCATAACATTACTGATAGGATTAATAAAATATAGTCGTACATAGATCACGAGTACTGAGCAATTTGCAAAATCAGTTTGCATCCAAATTTATTGCAAATTTCTTACCAGTTTTCGGCATATTCACAGTATTTGGCATCATAGAGATCTGATGACTGACTGTATTGTATGAAAGTGGAATTACATGTATCTTACTCAAAATGCACTAAGGCTGTTTCCACCATGTTTACAGCAGATTGTAACATAAGCACTTCAGCTACAGTGTGAGGTTTTTCTAGCTTTCACTACATTTAAGGCTACCTCAAAAAATGTTTTAAATGTAGTATAATATGTTGCAGGGGCACACAGTAGCGTAGTTGGTTGAGGCACTATGCTACAAGCTGGAAGGTTGTGGGTTCAAGTCCTGATGAGGTGGATATTTTCAAATGTACCTAATCCTTCCAGCTGCACTATGGCCCTGGGATCGACTCAGCCTCTAACAGAAATGAGTACCAGGAATCTTCCTGGGGAGTAAAGGACAGCTGGCACATAAAGCTGATAAACTTACCGCCATCTGTGAGCCGATTGTCTAGAAAATGTGGGAGCCTCGATGTCTCACAACCCTGTGAACTTTCACGGTCTGTTACAGGGATATCTTTACCTTTACATTTTACTGTGTGTCACTAAATAACAATAAACACAGACTGTGTTTTTCATTGCTGAATCGGGAAGGTGGTAGTGGTAAAAGACAAGTAGCCATTTTCATTGTTCACTGTAATTTTAATTTCTTTCAAAAGTGTTCCTAGCACACGCTATTTTGGAACTGCAGTTCTAATCCTACGGCTCTCAGAATACTTTGAATTGCTCTAGTTCATTACTGAAGCATTTCAGTACCCATGCCATAGTACTCACACTCAAGTTTTCTGTACTTACCAATACTTTTGAGATACTGTGTATCGTATATTCCAAAACAAATCATATTCATATGAAATCCAAGGAAGAGGTGTAAGCAGTGATGATAAAGGATTGAAAGATCATCAAAGCCTGTATGTGAAAATACTATTTACTACTTCATTCTCTGAAGTTCAACTATGCATGTAACTACTAGCTTTCTGTGATCTAGTACTCTTATTCTGCTTTCATATGTCCACAAATAGCTTGAGTCTGAAGAGACTATAGCCAAGTGGCCTTGAACCTCAGATCATTATAATCCACAGTCTCACAACCAGTTTTTTAAAAGTTTATTTGAATATTTTCCAATCATTTTCTAGGTCTTCTAAGCAGGAGCTTTTCAAATGGGTTTCCCACCAAAATTCTGACTCACACTTTGTCTTTCTGAAACACAGGCTCAACTCATGAAACGTCTTTATTTCAGTATCCCAACAGTACAAAGGGAGCTGTAAAAATCATAAAGGTGCACAACACTATGTATTTTATACTCATTGCTTTTAGCTGCATTGAAATATTCTCATGTCAGGTTCACTTTCAGCAGCTGCTAGTCAATAATAATCCAAGTGATAAATTCACACACATAATATTTTCTCTATTTAGACCTCAAATGCACTGTCACCTGGAGAAATCTTTAGTGGAGGCGATAAGTCTAAATACTTGAACACTTACAAATCGGTTATTCTCTCAGTGTAATAACCCACATCCTACAATGGTAATGTGAAGCAGTGAGGAAGAGAAATATAGATCTTAGTTGGTAGGGGGAGTAATGAAGATCTGAAGGACCAGAAAATATGAGAGTTGCAGATGAAATTACCCAGCAGTCACTGCAGAGTGATCTGCAAATTATTTTGCAGTCCATGAAGTCATCTTCAATGTAAAGATCAGTGTTTCTCAAAACTTTCATTTGGTGGCATGTTAGAATTTAGTTCATTAGCTCATGGTGTGTCATACTGTGTATGTACAAATGTTGCATATCTGCAAAAACTATGTCTTTACATCATCATTCAATTTCCCATGCATACTTTTCTGTGATATGCTCTACACTAAAGAGTGGTATTTAAGGTTAAAAATTTAGGAACAGTTTAACACAGAAAAGTACCACAGGTTAATGAAGTGCCAAAGCAAGGCTGAAAAAGCTCTCACTGCTCTTACCATGCTGTGATGTACAATTACTTATGTAGAAACTCATCTTAACTCATTATGCTACGAGAAACACACCATATGTATCAAGAAGTTGTGCGCAATATGGTTACAACGGCACACTTTCTGCACATCCCTGTAATTATGTAAATTAGCTGCAGTTGCTAGCACAGTTTATTTTACAGTGAATGCCACTGATGTATCAGTTAAGGGTAGCAGCGATTACAAGGCAGTTGTGAGTGGGGGAGTGTGATAGCCTGGAACCTGTTGCTGTGCCTCAAGGCTAATAATGTTGATCAGTGGGGGCTGGCAAGGGATTGTCACTTCTGATGTGTAGCACTGACATGTTGGTTCTGTTGCAACCTCCATGCTTTCAGAAAAATGCCTTGGCACCAATCGTTTCTGGAACAAAGAATATATTGGATTCAACTATTTTGTTTGAATATAATTAAGTTAGAATGCCAAAAGAGTTAAAAAAGCAGTATTTTAATATCTGACGATATTACGAACACCAAGTCCACCACTACGTTGTTAATTATGCAGTAAGATTATAAAACTAATAAGATATAGAAACATATAATTTCAATATAATTAAAAGTGTAAGTGGAAGCTACATGGGGTAGACCCAACCTCCTATACAAAGGGTACTAGGGTCACTTTCCCGGGGGTAAGGCGGCCGGGCTTGTGAAGCTGACTACTCACCTCCAACTAGTGCCGAGGTCAAGAAAATGTGGATCTATATATCCACACGCCTTCATGGCATAGTGCTTAATTAGTTAAGCACAGGGACAGCTTTACCTTTTATCTTACATGTTTCGGTGTCCTATTTTTCTACTTCAGGGCTCTTGCTCATTAACAGGAAGGAATTAAATCTTATGGAAATGCATTATAATACATTTAAAACTACAGAGAAAGTGTGTGAGCAAATTATTATTAATATTGCTGTTGATCTTCCATTCCTTTTTGTATGGCCATATTTTCTTGCTTAGTGTTATACAGTATATGCTTCCAATTGTACTATTCCCTTCTTGCACAGAGCTTGGTCTTGGAAATTAAGCTTGTTCAACATCCATTCGTAGCGTTTGTCAGCACTGTGTTTTCTGGTGTCTGACTTTACTCATATTGAAATTTAAGCCAATTCTGTATTTTAGTAGTGAAAGATACTTTATGGTACAAGTTTATCTGTTTCACAAATAATAAAAATTGTTTTCTTTATAGAGAAATTTCTCTTAATGCATTATGACCTTTTACATTCAACTGAGGTTTACACTTTGCTGCTTCACGTCGTGGGTACTACCGCTTTGACATGTGCTGCATTTTCTTTTTGCCCACAAAGTGTGAGCTGTTACAATTGGCTGTAATCGTAATAGCAGTGCCAATAAACCCAACCATCTAATCAAGAACCCATATTATTTTTGTCACGACAACCCCAAACACATGGCAATATTTTCCGAGAAAAGGGGTTCAAGTTGACAAAATCATCCTATGGTGCATCAAGCAATATAGAGATTACGTAACATGACTTACTCTTCACTAGCCTTTTATAAACCGACAGATTCAACTGTCTTGTATACTGTATGTATTAAATTCCTATATGGTCACGTGTGGGGTACAAGATGCGCCCACTTCTGCCCGGGAAATGCATGACAACATGTCGCTTAACACTACCAAGGTTAAGAAAATTTGTAAAACACTATAATTAAAAACTAAAGAAGTCTGGAGACATTTCTGTTCAGATACTGACGTGACTAAGGCACAGTTCACTCCAATTTACATTTGAAGCTCCCAATTAAGATACAAGCCTTTTCTACTTTAAATTTCGCGCTAAATTTAATTATCTGTTTCTCGCATACTAATCGATATTCGTTGATCGGTCATGACGGGAACAGAAAGCAATTTAATCAATATTTGGGCTCAAGTCGATAAACGCTTTGTGTAAGGAGCTCGTTTTGTAGTGAGGCTACTTTCACTCTCATGTTCAGTTTGCACCTACAGACTTACTCTGTATTCGTGACGAAATTTCGAGTGAACATAATGCATTGTTTCAGGGACAATGCTTATTAAGTGGGGAAGGCCGAAAGACTATGGTGCCGATATGATGCCTCAGCGGGAAGTGTGACACAAGAAATCATACGCCCAAAAAATTTATAGACAGGAGGAAGCAGAAAATGGTATTACATCTGCAAATGGTGAGTTAATATGAAATGTTTCAAATTAATCGACCACTACCACAACTGCCTCATTTGAGAAGCATTGCTCTGTACGTGTTTCTTAATTCAATAAGGAACTGAACGGATACAATTTGCAGTTATTTTTTCTTTTTGTCTTGCTGTGGCGTTACTGACTCACTCCTCTCAGGAGCTTCCGTGTTACTTTCTGTTTGTTATAGGTTAGTCTTATACTACAGTTCACTGACTATATAAAACTTGGAGCTCAGACAGACAGGTCCCTTTGAAAATATCTTGCTGTTCTTTTGATATCTCTGTAAGGTTGAAATGGCATTCCCGCAGTCTTACACGCTATGACCAAGCGCAAATAAACATAATGCTGCAACTCATTTTAAAATATATTATTTTTTAAAGGCACGATTCATGATAAATTCGTAAAGGTACTGCAATGTGAAATATATTCATTCTCGATTTTGGATATGAACTCATTGGTCAGAAGAGAGAAGCTCACATTTTTGTGTGAGCATCTAAGTCACATCTCAGCGGCTTATTTTTTTTACCACATTAAAACTCTTAACAAGAATAACATTTCAAATGAAGCGTCTCAAGACGAGATTAGATGGGGCGATTTCTGTGGTATTGGCGGTGAACCTTCAAGGTTATTCATTTGGTTACTTACTTTACAGTCACTGATTCACTGATTCATTCTAGTGAGAAGAAAGGCCCTATTTGTCGGCCTAGAAACAGTGGATAAAATTCACCAGAATTGAATTAAATTCACTTGTTTAGTAGTTTCAAAAATACGCCGTACATTTCCCATTTCCCCACGTTTTAACTTCCGGACCACACAACTTACTGACATCTCCTTTGATTGATTAACTACAGGCAGCAGAGTCCTTTTTGGGAAGCTGTCAGTTGCTCTATTTCCCTGTTTTTCGCGGGGATGAACGTTCATTGCTGTGTGCTGAAGCATTTTATAACCGCCTGATACATCCACCCCCTTCCTGAACATTCGAGAACTGTACAGATGGGCCAGATATTCCCAGCTTTTCTTATGGAACAAGAAGATCTGTCACTGCAATTACGAACTGAGTCTCTGGTTGTTATTCTGAGTCACATGTGCTCAGTCCACACCCTCAGACACTGCTTCTCTGTTAACGTGTCTCCCCATTTGCACTTAAACTCAATAAGCAGTCTGTTCACGTCTGGCCTCCTGATCAGTTCAAGTTCTTCTGTACTTATCATTTTCAGCCCACTAAGTCCTCCATTTATCTAACCCGAGAAGTAGCGAATATGGTCGCTTTCATAGCGAAGTTTTCACCACTCTTTTCCTCTTGCACACCATCTCGTTCTCAACACACACAAACACACACTAAACTGACAACTGTACCCGGAGAGTTGTCTTGCACTAGAAATTACGTGTTCTGTGTTTCACCGAACTGTGAATAGTTCTGCACTGGGTACTATCTCAACACAAGCACAATGCGATCATATTTTATAACCAGAAACAGCGCTTGCTAAGTCACTCCCGCTCCAAGAGTCACTTCGAAATGCAGGTAAAAGTACGGCACCCTGGAACCATCCCTCTGGAAGGACATCGGCAAAGTGTCCATTCAAACGGCAACAGTGACCTAACTTAATTTCTATCTAGGCCAATGAAGTTCCAGGTCAGTTTCCGAGAGTCAGTAAAGAGGTCACAAATGGATGTAAAACAAGTGATATTCGAACCTGGAAAAAAAAGTTTATTTCTCGACATATCGTCCACCAACACTGATACACTTGTTCCATCTCTTTATTAGTTCGTGGAAACCGGCAGCACAGAAGTCTTCTTAGTTCTGTCTCAGCCAGCTCCCCACCTTCGCTTCATCATCACGCCTTTGAGAGAATTTCTCGACCCGGTTGTCAACAACTTTACGAGACAAACACTTCTCACCGTAACCAGGAAACATTTCTTTGTGCATGTCCTTCGCATTGAGTCATTTTGCCCACAGAAAAGATACGCACAACGGAACGCTGCTCTTCGTCAGCACAATCCTCAAACACGGTCGCCATTTTGACTACTAAAACCAGCCTCTTAACATGAGCATGAGCGTCAGCTACCTAGACCGTTATGAAGCTGGACTGTGCTGCTACCTAGTGATACACATAGAAAACCTATTACATTAACTACAGCTTTTTTACTTCATTTTTTGTGAACTACTTACTGGTTCTCCCTTGTACTTAACGGGTACGTGCTCTTATATCTAAGCCACTCATGGTCAAATTATGTCCTCTAAAAGCACTTCAGAAAAATATTAAAGTGAGATTTATACGTGTACATTCCGCGAACACAATGCAGCAGGATTAAAGTGGATGAAGGGAGGTGGGGGTGAGATTTCGCAGTTTAAAGCGATGTGCATCTTACTCCTGCACGTTGCTCCAAGCACTCGCCCATTGACGGGAATGACATCTGAGGATCCAGTGGTTTGCCAGTGGAGGCATTTCGCGTGACCGGTAAGTGCTTGTTCTTCTGGAGGGGGACGGGAATAGGCGAAAAATTTTACGTCATTACAAGATTTATTATCACACCAAATATTAAGTTGCACTCGTGCTCTCCCCACCTCAGAATTTCTCATGTTTCTCCTACACTGCATAAACTAGATGCCGAGGGAATGGCATGGCGTTTAATCTACGTTTTATAACATCCAATGTTACGAGAGAGGATAAGCAGAGGAGAAGGGTCTTTCTTAAAATAAGAAACAGTACGCAAATAAAACCCAGCCTTTGGCTTGTTCCGTCCCTCTGAGTGGACCTCGAGTAGTGGCAGAATAAGACGACTTGTTACGAACCTGAAACGTGATTTCCTCGAGGTACCTCTTCTTCGTGGACCCAAGCTGGATGATGACGGTGCTGGAGTAGTGGACAGGAACGGAGCGAGATACCAGCAGACACGCCGTCTGGTACCTGAGCATTAGGTTCATCATTACTCAACTTACTTAACTCACTGGATGCAGTCCTCCATACCGGATTTCGTGACGTCTCAGTTGATAAGGCTGCATAATACATAACTGTAGCCTACATACTTCTGCCATCTCGTATGAAGAACGGAAATTTCAATGAAAACTTCTGAGAAAACATGCATCATGTTGTACTATATTATATTCCAATGCACTATAGGTTAGTGCTCTCAACTGGTGGTCCGCAGCGTAATTTATTCCGGTTAGCAAGTTACATTTAGCGAAGCTCAGTTGGTTAGTCGCTGGCTTCCAACCACGGCAGCCCGGGTTCGAGCCCGGATATGAACATGTGGGATTTATGGTGGACAAAGTGGCGCTGAGGCAGGTTTTCTCCGAGTACTTCGGTTTCCCCTGCCAATCTTCATTCCACCAATTGCTCCACAATCACCCTCACCTGTCATCTGGGGCTGGTACAATAGACCAGAAGTGGCCGCAGTACAAGGGACTCAGTCTCACCCCACTAAGAATACAAATAATAAAAAATACATTTAGTGAACCCGTGTGGAGGCGGGGTCGAATATTCCCACCGTAGCCCTGCGAGTCGTAGGAGGCGACGAATAGGGAACCCAGTGCCTGGGGGTATAACTGGGTCACCAAGTTCCGCAAGGGATATAAATACGGGGACCTGGCCCTCCAGGTTGGGGAAGTCTCGAATCTGAGACAGTAAAATGTGGTCGTGAGTCCCGCGGGACTCGGATCTGAGAATGACTGCGGTGGCTAGGATCAGCAGGCATTCTAAACTACAGACCCATCCTCTCGTCAGAGAGGATGTAAAGCAAGGTTCATAACCGCAAGTGTTCACTTGAAAAGAAATTGACCATAAGTATCAAGGGGCCTGACACCAAGACGAACTGATTGCCGGTAATCCGACAGTCGTGAAGCAAGTCTGACTGTCGGTACATTTAACGTTAGAATGTTATACGTGTACACTTTACCACGAATGAAGAAATTATTGTTTTGAAACTGACTAGTTTTATCTGCTGAGGAGTCGGGGTTATGAGGCTGGTCGCTGCGTCGCTCCGAATCCCGGAAGAAGGGGCGTGCTACTGCCTAAAAGACGGATTCTTCTGCCGCACCCTCGACAAACTTTAAATACAAAAGTTTAATTCGGGCGACCATGAAGTCTCTTAAAATGTAGTATCACACAAAACCGTTACATTTCATATTTTAAATAAAAATGTTTACATGCGCTAGTAATAAAAATATCCTTACTTTTTTTTTAGAATCGGTGATGTGGAGCGTCACAACAGAGGGGAAGTGAGGCGTGACAGCGTTGCTATGAACTCTTAGGCGGACGCCATTTTGACGAGACCTTGGAGCCCGGAAATGATAAACTCTATTCAGTTTCATTCTTTGTTGTTGGTTGTCGACGGTTTGAGTTTCCACAGGGAAGAAACTGGGTGCTTGCGGTGGTACCACAGAGTAAACTCGGTTGCGGAAACTGTTTGTTCGGGTTAATTCTGCAAATAAGGCGATTGAGAAAAGGAACACAACGTGTTTCTCAAGTTTAGAGTGGCAATTAATTTTCATAAAAGGTGAACACCTTTGTGTTTACATTGCTGTCTCATACCAGGAACTTTGCTGTTGAAATAACGGAAGTTCTGTAATAAGACGAATAATGTTTAAACACGCCCTACTGTTTTTTATTGCTAGTGGGGCGGGACTAAGTTCCTTGTACTGCGGCCACTTCGGGCCTATTGTACCAGCCCCAGATGACAGGTGAGGGTGATTGTGGAGCAACTGGTGGAATGAAGATTGGCAGGGGAAACCGAAGTACTCGGAGAAAACCTGCCCCAGTGCCACTTTGTCCACCACAACTTCCACGTGACCAGACCCGGGATGGAACCCGGGGCGCCGCGGTGGGAAGCCAGCGACTAACCGCTTGAGCTATGGCGCGGCCTTAAGTGGACTGTAAGCTGCTGATGATAAGTAATGAAAATCCTGGATTCAATACTTGGTATTAGGGTTGAGTTCGCATATGCTCTCTTTACGTAAAGTGTCCATTTGTATGTATCAGCTTCGAAACTACTCAACCGATTTCGATTAAATTTGGTAGTGGAAGTCTACAGTTACTCATAAAATTGTAAGAATTCCATTCTGATATTCATCAATATCTAATATAAACCTTTATTACACGAAGAAGTTCTGACCGAACTTCGTTTCCTTTCTCAAGAAGCAGAAGCGATATAAACATTACAATTCGAGGCTTTGCTTTGTGCGGTGAAGTCTGGGAGAACTGGCGTATATCTGGAACAAATGAAAGTCAAAGCTAATGCGATATACCGTGTCAATCACATGATACGTAATATCGGTGTTGTCTGAAAAGAAATCCTAGAATATCAGGACCTCGGAGCACATGGAGCCACCTCATTGAAGATTGCAGCTTGAGGTCGGTCTGCCCAGAAATCGAATGCAATTAGTCAGTATGTGCTGCCTAAGGAGCAATGTAACTTACGGCAAGTCTTCGTGTTAGAACAAAGTTAATACCGTGAAGACATTAATCCCAAGTGACCTTACTTGCTTCTGCAGTATGGCAGATGGCAGGCCTGTCGCGTCGGCGTCTCGGGAGACATGTTGGCCACTTCCTCCGACGTTGCCGTCCCAGGGGGCCTGCGCAATAATGATACAGTTTCTTTTGTTTCGACTGAACTTGATGATGATGATGATGATGATGATGATCATCATCATCGACAATAACGGAAGACTGTGGTAGTGATGATTTTCAGAATCGCGTTTGTTTGAGAGATTTTTAGCTTGAGTGCATAATCTAATTATTTGTGTTCATTGCATAATGTACATGAAATGTCATAACTGTCAGTCCGTTGCCATATTTAACTATATAACCGCTGGACGGGTTCTTCTGAAATTGGCTATTAAAGAATATAATGAAAAATTCCAAAGCCATTTTAATTTTCATTTAAATCGGACACTGTAAGCGGCAACTGTACACGAGTACGCATTGGCTTTTCTGGGCGCATCTCGCAAATGTGTCGGACAAAGGATGGAATGAAACACGCAACCTAGGAAAATTACGAGTGCATGTTCTCCGTACTCTTATGGTTTTCTAGACTCTAGATAGTTACAGCATATGGATGTTACAACTACGTTTTCCAACTTACATATTTAACAGTTAACTATGGTCTCTAGGACACAGATTAGTTTAATAAAAGGTTCAGGTTTTCAAAAGTTTTCTTTTGTGTGTGTGTGTGTGTGGGGGGGGGGGAGTACACACACGGGCAGACACGGAGGCACGCACGCGCGCGCGCATGCACATATGCCTACTTCTATTCTTTCAAAATAGGAAAGTGGGGTAAAATGAATGAACCGTCTATTGCTTACCCCGGAGATGGGGTAGTTCGTCCACTTGATACACTGGATGGTGTTCGACTCCTGGGAATGGAACTGTTGGATGTCCTCGATCGACTCCGCCGGCGATCCCTGACTGAGGAACAGACAACATAAACATGCATGCACATGTGAGCTCCTGATTGCACTGTGCTGCTACGTGTCTGATGGGCTGAGTCTATCCTCATTTATGTCAATGCCTCCCGCTTCATCTTGAGGCAAATTGTGATATGACGCTTGCTTCCTTCACCAGACCTAGCGAGGGGACAGACGCGCTGCGGCCGTATTCTGTTCTGTACTTGTGTACAATTTTGTTTGCTTTGGATATTTGTTTGGTAACTCTGATTTCAATTGTTGAGAAGTCGCAATGATTTCAATTGCTATAACAACAGGAAAGTTAACTAATAAACGTACTTACGTAACAAAACTAGTTTTTATACACAAGATACCTCGTTTATAAGGCTTAAAAGAACAACAGCCAATTCTTCCCACGTGTCGCAACTCACCACAGAGGCAAGAGTCTGAAATGACTGAGGAAGTGGTCAGCAGGAGATAGTGGATATTATTTTCTCAGTCACAGAAGTCTGGACGGTAAGCTTGGGAACTTTATTGCTCCCAGCAGATTTAGGACTATTGTGGTTAAACCGTTCTGAAATCTGTGGCGATTGTAAGGGAAGGCGTCAATAAATCCAATCATCCAATCCAGAACCCGTTCTTACAGGTGACGACCCTAAGCACGTGACAACATTCTCAGGGGTGCGCATCTGTGACTAGTCCGGTTAGTATCACGCAAAATCTCGAAACACGTGACTCCACCCCTCTACGGTTTAGTTAACGTTGCTGTCAGTAGCTCAGGCTACGGCGTGAGGTAAAGTGAATACGCATGCGTGTAGAGGTGAGAAGTCGAGATTACCGCTATCGCGGCATTTGTCTGGACGGACTGAGGAAGACGACAACTGGTGTCGCGGCCGAGATTCGAACCCGTCACCTCCTGGCTACATACGACTTTGTGAGGAGGTTGGTAACTACCATATAAAGGCATGGGATGAGTTCTGCGCACTACTTCAAATGCACCGTAACTTTAATTTCAGGCGGTGACTGTCATGGAGATAAGGATAATAATTTTTGTAACAATAACAAAAACCTAATAAACTGTAAAAGTAACCTATTTTTTGTGCTTTGCATTCACCGGGTAAGCGTGCGCGTATCCTCAGAATGTCAACAGCTGATCCAGTGTATCTTGGTATGTCGCACTGATAAGATAAACATTCTATGGGCAGACATACAAACACGAGGATAACTGCGAAGTAGGTATAAGACAAACGTATTATTATCTTAGTTGATAAGGGCCGCGCCATAACTCAAGCGGTTGGTCGCTGGCTTCCCACCGCGGCGGCCCGGGTTCGATCCCTGGTCTGGTCAAGTGGGATTTGTGGTGCACAAAGTGGCGCTGGGGCAGGTTTTCTCCGAGTACTTCGGTTTCCACTGCCAATCTTCATTCCACCAATTGCTCCACAATCACCCTCACCTATCATCTCGGGCTGGTACAATAGGCCAGAAGTGGCCGCAGTAGAAGGGACTTAGTCCCACCCCACTAGCAATAAAAAAATCTTAGTTGCTTGTTTGGCTTACTTTTTGAACCTGAAATTGCAAGCAAATCATTCCTCCGAAGCGTCAGTGAATTTCCACTGGACTACAGAGTGCCACATCCAACAGGAGAATACCTTCATGTCATACAAGTTTTGCGTAGTTTTATCTAAAGAAATTGTTCAATCCACGGGTGTCAATCTTCAGAAATAAGGAAAAACGACTGAGGTTGTCAGCCTTACTCGCCGGAAACCCTTTAACCCCAGGAAGATTCCTGGTCAGTGGCTCAGTCGACCTCAGGGCCATAGCGCGGCTGGAAGGATTAGGCCAATTGAAAAATCCAATGACCTCATTCTGAATCGAACCCGCGACCTTCCGGCTTTTATCATAGTGACTCAAGCAACTTAGCTACAGCGTGCCGCTTTTTAAGAAAGAAGTACGTCCCCTGACGTTTAGTTTTGAAGACGATAGAACCATGGGCGCCCCTACTGACAACAGACCTCCGTGTATTCCAAGCAGACAGCAGTGCGCTGCAAATGGCTTAACATTCTCCACAGCCCTGGAAAGGCGCTACCTCGGGTGTCCCCACAGAAGTTCGTCGGAGTTGGATCCGGAAACAGAGGAGGCCATGCAATCGGCCCTTGACGCCCAGTCTGCCTTCTCGGATACGCTGCTTTCAACCGCTGCCGGATATCTTCCCTACAGTACTCTGGAGGTCCGTCGTGCTGAAACCGTGGCTGCAGTCAGGCAGCAAACTGGGTCCCATGACAATGCCCCGTGATAAGCTCGACGTTAGCATGAGGACTGTCGCGTGCCCAGAGGTGAACACTCCATCACGCTTAAGACATGACTCGACTGTCCACATTCGCAAAACTGCATCTGCAGAGGGCGATCTTCTGGAAGCAGATGTAAGCTCCGTGAGGAGGGTTATGGATGCAACGTACTTCGAGGGCCCTCAGTTCGAATATTCAAAATTCTCGTGCCACATCGTGTGCGATTCTCCACGACTCTCGTTCCACAGCAACAATTGTCATCTCCATTGGCTGGTGTCCGCACAATCCGCGGGCGGCCTGCATTCGCGTCTGGCGTAGGTGTCACACTTCCTTCCTCAGGGTGACGCTGCTCTAGCCGACACATTAGCGTCTGTACGACCTCGACCGGTATTCTATTTGACGCATTACCAACTTGACTAGTAAAAGTTCCGGGGGTTAAGGGCATGTCGCAGTGTTCGTCGTGTGTGCATTCCATCACAACTGACCCGTGCTGCCAGCTGCGTCTCATGAGGACAATTAACAAGGCGCAATCTATCGTCGTGGCAAATTAAACTTCTGAGAAATACTACCCCATCTGACAGTGACATGTATTTCGATAACTAAACGTCTCATAACATATGCTGTATATAATTTTAAACTTATTTTAAGAAATCACAATATGAAAAGCTTTTTCAAGAATTATGTTTCCCCCTATATATTTTATATAAGAAGAAATATAGGGCGCGGCCACCAACGCGCTTACTTCTTCACGAAATTTAGAACCGTGCATTGGACACAGAAGCAATTTTTGAGAAATAAAGGACAGGAAGTTTGTTCCTATGTTTCGATGGAACGATTGATATAGCAAGAAACAGAAAGCGATTCTATCAGCAGACTCAATTTCAGCGGGATATATGTATATTCGGCCTGTGCACAGTTACCTGCAACGTACTGCGCTTTTACTGGACGTCAAATTGTCCTGAAGCAAGATGATTCAAAATACACCAAGTCAATTTCTTACATTTAATGCATTCTGTTTATTAAAACTCTATCAATACTTACGTACTGTAAACATGTCTTACAAACCACTCGACAGCTTCCCTGTATTTCCGAGTTAAAAGAGTAGGCGTGCCAGTCGGTACTTAATGCTCTGAAGCACTTATTTTTCTTTTCACAGTAGATTAAGTGAGCTAGTTTGTCCCACAAGGCGGTAAAATCTTTAAGATTCTCTGTTTAAAATTTTAAGGGAAGTTAGAAGTAGGATTCGTGTAAGGATGTAAATTACAATATTTTGGGGCCTACGTAATTTTGTCGCAAACGATTATTACAACAAAGGCTAAAATCGCTATGTGTTGAAAGAGAATTTTATATAATTTCCATGGAAAGTCCATTTTTACAAGAAGTACGTATATTCAGGGCAGTATGAAGTACGTGTCTAATTACAAACTGTCTCTGTTATTCCAATTATGGCTCAATTTGTGCATTTAACTAGGCACGAGAAACAATTTAATTACTTACGTAGCCCTGTAGAGTCTTATATTTTCTTTATACTGCTCCAGTATTAAACATCAAAACATGTCACTTCATCCAGACAAGGCGCTCTTGACGAAATGTTATCACAACGATTGCACATACTCCATACTCAGTGTGTGTAACTGTTACTTCACGCGAATGTTAAGGGCACGGGCGACTGAACAAAACAACACGCCATTTTGCCTATCAGTTGCTTCAACTAAACAGTACTCCTAACAACCACTTTAATCACTTGTTGATATTTCGAATCCAGAGAAACAGACTCGTCGGTAAGCCGAACCAGACTGCTTGCTTACACGCGCTGTGCCATATCTTTTCATTCTGGCTAAGGCCATCTATATCTCGAAGTTCAAACATGGATCCGCAGTCTCTGGTGCTGCGCGGGGTAAAGTGCTCTGCGCCCTTCTACACGATACGGTAAACAAAACGTTGTGACCGCTCAGCGGCTGCCTCGCGTCCCCGCTTCGCACCCGGCAGGGCCAGTCAGGGTCCTCACAGGCAATTTCGGGATATTATCTCAAAGTAGGCCACTACAGCTTCTTTTTAATAACATTTCAAGTTCATCATCCGCATCGTCACGTTGGTCCTTCCATCTTAACTGTGGCCGTCCTATGTTTCCTTGTACTTTTGGATTGGCCGGGATAGCTCAGTCGGTATAGCGACCGAGGGTCGGATTTCTAGCCCCGGTAGGGTCAAGAATATTCTCTTCTTCATGTCGTCCAGACCGGCTCCGGGGCCCTCCTATCCAATGGGTCCCGAGGGTAGAGCGGCCGAGGCGTGAAGCTGACCACTCACCTCCAACTATTTCCGAGATCAACAAAATTTGGATCTATACATCCACTCCCACACACGCCTTCATGGCGTAGTGCTTAATTAATTAAGCACAGGGACAATGTTTACCCTGGACTTAGCTAACATTTCTAGCTTATTTAGTAGCTATCAGTTGGACATTCTTCTGCCAGCTTTACCTGACGGCCAACGAATTTGTTTTATGTTGTGAATGCCACTTGACAGCAGAAAACTGTCTCGCAAGATGGCGGACACCAGATCCTGCAGTAGAAAGCTCATGACTTTTGCTTGTTTGTTTCGCATAAAGAGGTCATTGCTGGAGCACTGAACATAACAGAGCTATTAAGCACGCGTGCCCGCGCGTGTACAGGAAATATGTGGGATGGCACCATGACGTTCGCTTCCTCAGACCGACCAAGAAGGAGTTTGCAGACATGAAAACCAAAACTGATGATGTGTGAAGTGTTGCCGGGTGCTGTTGCTTATAATCTGATTGGTGCCCAGTTCTAATGACATTAAACTCCATGCACAAGAGTTTTCAAACAAAATGGGCCAGAAATCTATTCTCAGACCAGGAAGCCTCAGAAGAAATGCGTAAGATCGGATTTCTGTTGAAGCGAACAGAAGCGAGATCCAAGTACTCGTAGATTCTCTGCTCAGGATTGGATCCACTGCCGGCCTGCAATAATTGCACAGGGCAGGCAATCTACTGGTGCAAGTTCCCAAGGGGAATGGCGACTTTCAGCATACTGACTTTCTGACTGCGTACGCGCATTCCACCATCTCTTGCATGATTAGGAACTCCTGTTAATTCTATCGTTACGGTGATCTGGACGTCTTCGAGTCGCTCCAAACGGCGCCCTTCCATTAGTCACATGGCTCAAAACAGATGAGAGTGGCAGATGTAGAGCCGATATTTGTTTCTGGGCCAAAACAGCTTTCTCGGAAGTACTGTGTAGAGGTGCGAAACAAGGAGATGTGTAGTGTCAACAGGCCACAGTAGCACAGTGTGGCAGATGCGACAACAATGGCATTTGTTTCCTGGACGTGCTGTGCGGGAAGGACTGTTATCACGATGTTACTGTCTCTGTACAGAACGTCTTTATATTCAGGCATGTGGTTAAAATCAATCCCAGAATTTACACACTTTGCTAAGTCATGCTTCTTTCCCGGAAATAAATACGAAGATGACTGTTTTTCACAATTTCATCCACTTTTGCTTCCGTTCTTGAAGCTGCTGTGTCTTCTTTGTTATACTCACCGTTCCTTCCAAATACACTTTCTCGAGGTTTCACACATGCTACTGATATTTTGTCTATTTTTTCCGAAAGGAAAATAACCGTGTAGGGGCTGCGGATATGTTTTTGTCCTTGTGCTTGAAAACTTATGCAGTTTTATTTTACCAAACTGAAAATTTTATTAGCCACTTGTGGTTACAGTATTAACTTAGAACAACTAAATCATCGGTTTAAAACAATTTAATAGAACGTAATTTTATCAGTGAACTTCCATACAAAAATTTTATGCTAAAATGTGTTTGAAATTATAGAAACCTATAAATAACGCTCTAGACTCAAATTCGGGAGATTCTCGGTTCGAATCTGTTCTGGGATACCAGCTATCGTGACTGAGGTCCTTCATGGTTTTCCTCAGTACACTGAGAAGAATATCTGGGACGTATCTCGATTAGGCTGCGATCACTTGTTCCAAACTCACTTCAGTTTCTCATCCATGAAATCGTCCCACCAGGCGAAGGTGTAGCAATGTCGGTAACAAAGGCGCCGTCACATAACCCAGACAGGAAATGTCAGCAGTAGGCTGTGGAAAAAAAACGTGGAATATTCTTTCATGAAAATCAAGTGGGACCCACTGAATTTCGTGAAATAAAAGCCTGACGACTTGATAATTTAAATGTTCTGTTGAAGATTACGGAAAGGTCCAGGAAAACAGGTCTCTTTAGAAATCGGAAACGCAGTTTTTGCCTCACACGAAAATCAACAGAGACTGACCACACGATGTGTTTCCAGCGGCACTGTAACAAGCAACGGGCGAGAATATTCCTACTTTGACACAGTGGTGGGTCTGCATTGTCACGTGAACCTGAGAGTTATGCCGGCGGTATCATAGCTACTGGTAGGATCTCTAATACTCTGGTCCTCCAGGCTGCGGGTTTAGCGTAGGGTAGTAGAAGCTTCTAGCGACTGCAGCTGGGCGGAAAGAACTGAATGGAGACGGGAGTCGCAGGATCGATACCAGCGGCGAGCAATCGCAACAGAAGGAGAAGAAGAGGGCCCCTTTCAGTGGGGCGCGAGTGCTATTTGTGCATGTCTTCTGAAAACTATCAACATGCCGACTGCATTGCCTCATCGCTGTCATGAGATTCTCAAGCTAAGTTCGAATTTATGGGGTGTTTCTCGCATATTTAGGGTGGAAACAGTGCGGACACTGACCGACTGATTCCTGATTGCTTGGATCGCCATTTATTCTCCCTGACAAATTTTAGGTTTACACGGATGTGGTTTTCTGGATTGGGGCACTGTTTAATCTTGTGACGACACAATTCGATCCTGAGAGGCAGCAGTGCCTCCCAATCACCTGCCTACAAGACAACGCAGACTCAAAACTCAGAAGCCCGCATTCTAAATCATTAACATGAATAAATGAAAGAAGATTAGACTGGGAAGAGGGGCAAATGCATACAAAATTTTGTTACGAAAATATCAAGGAGAGGATCAGTTGAATACTGAGGCAAATATGAAAGGATATTATTAAAACACATCTTAAAGAAATAAGATTTAAGAATTCAGATTGAATTCATCCGTCCGAGGATATGGATCAATGGCGGACTCTTGTGAACACGATTATGAACCTTCAGGCTGTGTGAAATTTTGAAACTTTCTTGTCTATTTCATCAACTATTAATTCTCAAAATAGACTTCGCTCTAAGGAAGCAGATACTTAGTTATGGAAGTCTTCACGAATTATTCTAAGGGAATACATCATCGCCGATCACAGGGCCCGCGCGGTCTAAGGCATGAACTGTCTTCACTCGCTCGAACACTGGGATCATGGGTTCGAATCACGCTCGAGGCATGGATGTTTGTGTTGTCCTGTGTGCAGCTAGCGGCCTTGCAACGGGCTGATCACTCCTCCAAGAAGTCCTACCGACTGGCTAAGATTAAGAAACTGAAGTGGAACGAAGCGTTTCAGGGATGCGCATGCTCCAAGTGGAAGCAACAGGAATAGATGGATAGAATATAGCATCCCAGTACTGGAGGGGTTAAAGAAAGCACGCTTTTGTACACGAATGAGCACTCGACAGTGAGGCTGAATGCGATTATACTGTCTAATCTTAAAGCAAGGGGTGTGACTGAACCCCTGGGTACCCGGCCCGGATGTCAGATGAGAAGTGGAACATTTTTACTGAATGAGAGTTGGTGTGCCCCAATGTCGGTTTTTCTATCAAAAATCCCACTGGAGTTCACCTGGGATTGAATCCGGACCGCCCAGTGGGAGGACCACGTGACTAATGGCCTGAGCAGTGGCATGTTTGAGACTTTTAAAACAATGTGACACCGGATTCGCACTTTGGACGCAGAGTTGTGCGGCAGTTTACGCAAACACCACTGAACTTTCTCTCTCCACACACGAACAGCACTGTTGCTGCGTGTGCAGGGACAAGTCAACATCGCAACACATGCCTCTAATTCAGGCCTGTCCTCTAAATGTTTACGTATCTTCGGTAGGCCTACACGCCGCACCTTCAGTGGCAAATTCAAATTCAAGTTGTCCCCGTCCTTCATTAAGCACCGCGCAGTGAACACCCGTGGAGAAGTGGAGGTATAGCTCCACAATTTTTGACCTCGGCACTAGCTGGAGGTTGAGTGAGCAGCTTCACGTCCCCGCCGCTTCGACCCCTGGCAACATTGTCCGGCATCCTTTGGACAGGTGGCTGGGTGGGCCCAAGAGCCCGTCTGGACACTGTGGAGAAGAGAAAATCTCTCGCCCCTTGCGGGAATCGAATAGCGGCAATCCAGCCTGTAGTCCGTCGTTATCCCGGCCGAACAGTAAATTCCAATTAGTAGTTAAAATCTTCCGTTTCCCAAGTGCCTGATCAGCGGCCCACTGAAGATGCACACATGTAAAAGAAAAACATCGCTTATTTCACACCTCGATATTTGATG